TTCTCCAGATCTGGTTCTTTCCTCCACATTTAGAATGAACACGCGTTCAGAGTATTTGGCTGCTATAAATGTCCACACGATGACAAGCCACTTCATTGAGCTATCATTTGTGGCCAGGTCGCTTCTGAAATAGAACTCCATAGCTCAGTGGGCCTTACCTGGTAAGATACAAATAAATAGTTGAGTTTAACTGGGTTCAACCGCTGATTCACCACACTTGGTTCGGGTTCTTCCAGAGACGGTGACTATTCTCCCCCCGCATAGCTCACGTTCTGCTATTCGTCGAGTCATCGAGCCAATTAATCGATCGCTGAATTAATTGGATATCCCAGCTGTAGCAAACACACACCACAATCCACCCGTGGCTTTGGCAGTACAGCCAGGTGGTGGCGCATGTGCTCCGTGGAACAGCATTGTAATCACACACACACAAGACCGCCACTCTGAGCCAAACTCAGTGTCAGTCGAGAGCTCGGGGAAATCGGTTTTGAAGTGTCTCTGAAAAGTCTGTGGAGGTTGGACGCTGATCATGCTGCTGCTACTGTGTATGTGCAGCAGCGGCGGCGGCGGCAGGGGGACAATGATGATGATGGGGCGTTCATGACAGAGGTGGGGCTGCCACGGAGACGACTCCCTGCAGTGGACCATAGTTCTTTGGCCCTTGGTGTCGAGAACCACTGGCACGTAGACAATGGCAGAAACAGAGATGCACACAGACACGCAGCAGCGCAGCCAGACACGTAAATACACGGGCACATGTTGAGAGCCAGCAGATATACACAGAGACGAGAGACAAACACACAGAGGGCTTGACTTTCAATATTGTGGGTGCCTCGATGTGCATAAAAGTAATGCGCACAAAATATAATTTACTGGATGATGGGCTGCTTTAATCCAATACCAGCACTTGAACTTTCAATCTTCCTAATTTGAGTAAAAATATCGTGCCACTCGGCTACACACAGTGTATATAAAATATACAGTGTATGTACAATACACAATGTACAATACACAGTGTATGTATAATACACAATGTACAATACACAATGTATAATACACAGTGTACAATACACAGTTTACAATACACAGTGTACAGTACACATTATACATACACTGTGTATGTATAATACACAATTTACAATATACAGTGTATGGACAATACACTATATAAACAGACATTGTGAAAAATATGTTTTAATGCAGTTCATTTGATACACTGTTGCTGCATGAAAGACTGTTTTCAGGATGTGTCCCCAATACTTTAATTAAATCCGACACACCCCACAATTCGGACCGAGATGCACAATTTCGGTTGATCGGAAAGTTCCCAACATGTAATATGGTGATTGACATCACTTCCATGGAATAACTTCCAAGAATTTCCAGTCAAAAGTGTCGCCACGTGATGTCAATTTGACAAGTGATATCATATTTGCTTAAATTATTTACATGAAAAATATTGTCTTACCGACTGGACGATTAATATTTAAAGATTTAAAATAACATTTGAACCTTATGGCTGGACCCCGGAGTCCCATAAGCTCCGGCTCTCGCATAAACATGAAATTATAATGTAAACAAAAACTTTGCTCTTTTTCACCAAAGGGTTTGAAGGATGGTGGAAAGTATTGTCTTGTTTAAACTATGCTTTTAAAACTGAAAACTACTTATCTGCAGTACCTCTATTTAAATGCACTATCCGAAAAATAATTTACACCCCTCTGTCAATCATCGTGTTTCTCAGTGTGGATTTGTGAACACACTTTGTAAACAGTACATAAAATAGTACGCCTTTTCAATGCGCTGTTCATATTGTAACAAGCGTTTCTACCAATGTTACTCTACAGAGTAGTGGGTCGCCACTCCTCTTATCCGCGTTGATACGAGCGGTATGTGGGGACTATGGTTTAACCGCAAAAATAAAACCTGTCTGCACAGATGCATGCGGACAAGAGAAGTATGATCAAAAAGGAGGAATTAACGGTGCAACGCATCTCATCTGTTAAATATCTGCAGGTAATAGGATTGTCATCGATTGATCGTGGCTGCAGACATTGGTAGGTCACAAATACGGCAATAATGAAGATAAGAGAGCAGCTTCACTGTATTATGATAAATAAAGGACTTAAGTCTGAGCAGCTTTGGATAAGGGGCCGATCATAAATGACGTCACGCACCTGGGGGGGTGGGGGTAGACATTTGTGACGATGTGTGACGATGGGGGGGGGGGTTTGAGAAATGTGACGTCACATCAAAATGCGCAACTTTAAATAAATATAGACAACACGTTCTACTTAATTAAATAGACTTTTTAATAAATGTTTTCTCCTACAACATCAGAGTGCAGCGCCACATTAAATACGCACTACAATGACAATAGTTTAAAGCGATTTGAAGCATGTTTTATTTTTTGTGGGGTGGGGGGCAGAGCTTTGTGACGTCATTTGAGGGGGGGGTCTGACTTTGTGACGTCGTGTGACGAAGGGGGGGGGGGGTCAAAAATCGTACAAAATCGCGTGACGTCATTTATGGACGGCCCCTAAGATCCTGCCCATACCCTACCCGAGCTTGGAGTGCATTCGTCCTCACCGCTGCGCTTGGACGAACGACACGGCAACAGAATGATCCGCACCATAAATTAAATTAATAACGATTTTGACTTCCGTTTATTCTTGGACCCCAGGGTCTCGCCATGAGGTTAATGTAATGTAGTGCATAACCAATGAGCCATTCAAGTCGAGTATTTGTAAATCTGACAAAAAATATTAAACGAATCCAAAATGGAACCCAGAAATCTCAAAATCTGACATCCTAACAAATTAAATCCGAAACTCATCTCTAGAATATACCGCATTGTAAGCGTACACACGTAAACGTATATCAATCAGGAAAAGCAGTCTGCCAGAAATACTGTCAGCCAAAGACTGCCAGACATCTCAGATTCTGATTTACGTGCTCCCTGGAGCAAACGTGGATGGCTTGAAATGCAGACCCACGCACACCCTTTATTCCACACACACACACCGCTTCCCACCCGCTGCGATTTCAACGGCTGTGCATTAGCGCCGCCGTGCAATTTGCCAGCAATGACAATCCGTCAAAACTGACAGAAGCCGAGATGGCTCGGTGGCTTCAGGAGACAATGCCCCGGCTCTAAACCGCCACCACTGAACAGGAATTCAAATCTGGGCCATCCAGCCTCAAGATACAATCACGTTCCCAACTTAGCCAGTTGAGAATCTCAAAGTCATGACCATTCGCTGTGCTGTAAGGCATGATTTCAATGTTAATGTTTATAAAATCAGTCTCCTTGCAGCTCTGAAGGTGAAAATGTGTTGAATGTAAAGGAACTCGAGAAGTATCTCTGTGGTGTAATTTGGGCAGTGGTATAATTTACATTTAAATACGTTATTTCACTACGTTGTAATCGGTCATTTTTTATTTGTATATAAATTACAAAGTGGATTAATTTACGGGGCAGTAGGTGCCCTGTGTATGTAAGGGTGGCACTGCTTAGGGCTGAACGATTTGGGGAAAATATCTAATTGCGATTTTTCTGACAGATATTGCGATTGCGATTTGATTTGCAATTAAAATGTTTTAAGTCAAGCTTCAGTTCAATATTCACTGTGTAATAGATTAAAAACATGTGATGGAGCATTACCACATTATACCATCAAAATATGAACTGCTAATGCAAAGATGAGAACTTAAAATATATTAATTGCTTCCAACATGTTTTTCTAAATGTTTTAATTATAATAGAACAATCAAACATAGAACAATTGTTAAGTTAAATAAATGCATTTATAATAATAATAAACAATAAAACAATTCCAATAAGAAAGTAATAGGACTTTTAAAATCGCAAAAAATCGCAGCCTTTGCGATTTGCTAATCGCATTGTTTGAAATTGCGATTTCGATTTGAAATCGATGAATCGTTCAGCCCGAGCAATGCTGTCTGGGTCGGGCCTTTTAAACTGAGGTGACTTCACCTATGAAGGAGATAAGTTTAACTATAACATTCCAGAAAAGGCAAAATATGTGGATTGGACACATTCTCTGAGTTGAAATCTCCATGAAAGAAGTTCAGTTGTGAATGTGACTGGGTACTTCTACAATGCATTGCCTGAGTGAGCAGGCTGATATCAAGTGGACAAAACGCCTGTGACTTCGTGGGCAGGAATAGACTATTGTATGCCTATGGCATGGCCTAGATTTGAACAGTAATTTAAAATCAAGGCCATGCCATCTTCGAGTCTCATGTTCTTTTTATTCATAGTCTCTTAACTGCAGCAGACATTAAAATAAACGAATTTGTTGAGAAAATAAATCGGTTTAATGTATGTGCATGTGCTGTAGACTGTAGGGCATTGCCAGGGCCAAACATTTGAGGCAGTTACAGTCACCTCGAGTGACCCCAATCGGCTTGCAGTATGTCAGGAGATGCATTACGCTTGATTACACGTTCCCAAATAGTACAATGAGTGCATGTAATACATTGAAATTGCATTCTCATGTATAAAAACAATGTCAATCCATTTCAAATGGCTTCATAAAGGCATGATAAATGCCCCTGATTATGTATCTCATTCGATTTAATGACAACGTGTCCCATGCGTGTTGTACGTATTTTTTACTCATGGAAATTGTAGAACAGTAAAATGTTGTGGGTGTGGAGCGGTGTGAATGGCTAGCTCACTGCACTGTGAACCCAAACACCCGAGTTTGCTTCCCACCGGTAACACCATGACCACGTGATGTCATTACATCCATCATGCTGTACAGCTGAGTTTATATTTATGGTGACCATATTTCTAACTACGTGACTTTATCGAAAGAACTAAAGAGTATGGATTCCTGCAGTCACGAAAGCTTCAAATCAAGATTACACACAAGCTGTCGCCATTATATACACATACACAATATAACTCAGAATATAATCCATAATTTCCAAACCTGGTATAATGTAGTGTATGTTGAACTTCTTTCGCACCGTAAACAGCCAACCGTGCTTATTGGAGGTGTGTGAGGACAACAAACTAAACAAAAGCAGTTTGAAATAAATTACTTTTCAACCAAGATTCAAAAGTGCTTAGCTCCCGTGGCCTTCATTTTTTTTGTTGAAAAATTACAAACATTCGAAAGTTAGTTTATTGTTTTAATAACCAAAACCAGAACACAACAGCCAGTAAAGCCATCTATCGCTAAAACAAATACGCCGTACCTGTTACGAGAAAGACATTTTTTCGAGTTGTTAAAATGTTAATATGTTAGTTCCTAACGCAGTAACCAGTGTCCGCACCGCAGAGAGTGCGATGTGCAAACAGCGACGCAGAGATTCCCAACGATCAGACGGACGGACGCTGTACTCCACCACACTGCGCGGCCTTGAACTACATTCTCAAACGTTTACTGGACGAGACCGAAAGTGCGCAACATCGCCCGGTTGCGGCGAAGGTCACCGTGGTGATTTCATGCCAACATCTCTTGCCATGATACCCTCCACCGGCCGACAAGACTGTCACATTGCCAAAGATGTTGTTTATATGCGGCCAATGTATGGATCAGATTCTGAGCGATGCGGCTCCTCCTCCTTACCGCTGGCTGAAGGATGTTCACGACTTGAATGATCACCGCCTTCTTCGTATGGCTGAATTGTGATTTTCACATTGGGGTGGTTGCGCCAAGATGATTGCGCTAAGGAGGAGCGGAATTTAAAATCAACGTTCGACTTTTCACTCCCAACTGCTTTGAGCTTCATGGGGTCGTGAACTCGTCACAAACTTGTCAGGTGGAGGAGGTTTAATAACAATTTCTTTTTTAAAAAGCTACCACCAATGGTGTGGTCTCTCCCAAAAACAAACACGGCTCACTGAGACGGACAAAACCCCCATGTACGTTTAAGGTTAAGTATACACAGTATTAAGAACATGGCAGCGTTTTCTTTTTAAAATCGGGAATGTAATCAGAGCAGAGGAAATGCTGGTTTTCATCCACACAAACGTTAGGTACTTGTATTTTCTCAAATTTATTCTGAACGCCACTGACAAGTTTCTACATAAGCTGCATGAAGCGAACTGAACGCAAACATCGTCACAACGAGCTCAACGCAAGCATCGCATACGAGGGCACGAGAGGGAGAAGACAGAGGGCAATGGAAACCAACGTCTCTCTCTCTGGAAATACATTTGGTTGTATTGTGTGAGACACAACAAATAACGGCACAACAACAGTTCCACGTGTTTATGTTACATGTTTTGTATAAAGCATATTGCATTTTTAAATGCGATACACTTTTTTTTCTGTCCATGAAAGCAACATTCGATCAAGGTATCATGAGATTTGTGCTTTCTTTCTCAGCAGGTCATCGAATGGAATTCGAAAGGCCAGACTTTGGATTTTGGTCAAAGGACCAAGGGTGACGATAGGATTGAGTTTTATTTCACTGAAGTTAATCAGGGTGTCAGTCTAGCAAACGTACTACCAGTACATAAAATAACCATTCCATGAGGTATACAACACAGCACCTGATTCAATATGAATTCATATTAAACCTAAGCACTATACTGTAAACAGAGTTCTAAATGTCTAGCACGTGGCAGGCTTCCGCGGCCAATATTATTCATAGCAGGTTTTTTTGGGATGAGATTGCGTAAATATATCAATGTGTTGTTAAACCCGCCACCACCCGACACAGCCCACTAGCAAGGTTTGTCAAGTAAACAAATCTGGCTATCGCCTGAAGCTAGTTGTAATTACTAGTGAAACATCGTACTCAGATTGTAAATGTTGTGGCTTGGCCCTCTCCAACATACCGGTGTGCTGTACTAGGAACGAATTGGCCACGTTCTGTTTACGTGACAAACCTTCACTAATTGGCTGTGTCGGGTGGTGGCGGGTTTAACGACACATTTATATATTTACACGATCTAACCCCAAAAAACCCCCTGTATTATGGAGAATTCGAAATATATACACGGATACATTTATAGATGCACCACTTGATTTCTCATGACCCTCTTTGTAATTTACACACAAGACTTGTTTTCATTAAGGGGCAGTCTATAAATGGATCACAGTATATGTATATACAATGTGAGTGAGGGATACAGCATTGTCGTCCTTGGGTTTAAGCAGACCACGGGAGACACGGCCAAATATATTTTATTACAACCAATGTACTCATTTTAAAACAGGCACCTGACGGATGGACACACACCAAGTCACTGGGGTTTGCGTCTAGGTGACCTTTAACCTCTCTAACATTCCACCCTCGGCTGTGTCACCAAGCAGCTCCATGGCATGACAAAAGCGAGTCGAAGCAGAACTCAATGGACCCTCTGGGTTGGACGGGGTCCCGAAGTTTACAGAGAGTTCTCTTCCCAATACCATCTGGTAATCCAGCGGTATTTGTTGAACAGGTCTGACATAAACAGAATCTTTCTTTAGACCGGAAGAATCCGATGAGCTGTGAAGCTCTTTTCTCACACAGCTGCCAGTAGGGGCGGGTCAGCTGGTTACAACAGTGAACAATACAACACACGATTGGAGTGCAAAATACAGTAAAGGTACGCAAATCACTAATAGTAAATAAAGTACTTGCTCTGGTTTCGGCCCAGTAACCCAGTCCAGATGTGCTCGCTAAAACACGTGCTGCTTGATAACCGTGGTCTAGAAAGCCAATAGGCTGATGGAAAACAACAGATTTGGTATTTAAATGCGAAGTTCTGCTGAAATTTGCTTTACCCACAATGATCTAAGGCAACACAACGCCTTTGTGTCAGAACAAGCAAATCCATAATGGGCTTCACGAAGCGTTATGGATAACCAATAATTTAATGACAACTCTGTCAAAATTATGAATGACACTATCTAATGATGCACACATTAAATGTATTGAACTCTCTTTCATAACTGTATATATATATTATCACAGACTATTCAAGGTTCGAGTTACTGGAGTATATATATATCCTCAGCAATAATGGGGGTTTCACATTTTTCTGTGTTCCTTACCCAGAAAAGTATGTGTTATGCAAGATGTGAAATAAGCAAATTTGAAAGTTTAGTAGAACAATGTGTTCTGCTAGAAAGGTACTGGAAACTAAAATTAGGTATGACATAAATCACCCTTGCAGCCAATGGTACCCACGGAATATTACTGAGCAGATGGCATACACATCCATATGTATTTATATTGGGTCGTACCACGATATTTCCCCTATGTGTTTTAACCCCCAGTTTTATCCGGATTGTGTTATCGGTGTAACGTGATGGGGTTTTTGTGGTCCCAGTCATTGGTGACTGGACTGAGACCATCGATCCGCCACACTTGAGAACCCAGATGAAACTAAAAACGAAACAATTTTTTTAAAACTCTTTGGTTCTTTCAGTAAAGTCAAGTAGGTATAAAACATAAAATAAAAATTCAATCACGACGTTTCGATCGCAACACACGCGACCGCCATCAGGTGGAACCGATACAGCAGGACAACTGCTGATTTATCTACCCACGTGACTTTGCCGAAAGAACCAAAGAGTATGGATCCCTGCAGTCACGAAAACTTCAAATCCATAATTTATATTTTTATTCTAACAGGCTTTATAGCTCTTTTTCAAAAGCGACCTGGCAATCAAAAATAACAGCTCAACGAAGTGGCTCATCACGTGGAAATTCATAGCAGCCAAATACTCTAAACACACGTTTCGAAACGTGGAGGGAAAAAACCGGAGGGCCCAGAGAAAATCCACGCAACCACGAGGAGAGAGACACGCAAACGACAAATATACAGCAGCAGGCGCCATGGTCGCGATCGAACCCACGACGTCCTGTATACCAGGCGAGGTAGTTAACATCTCGCCACTGTGGCGCCCCACCGAGACTTATTTGGCAGAGGCACTGCATATGGTGATGAGACACGTGCCTCACAGCAGACGAACCTGGGTTCGATTCTTGACTCGGTCGCCTTCATGTGTACATTCTCTCCCCCTTGTGCATGGGGTTCCTCCGGATTCTCTCGTTTCTTTACGTAGCTAAGAGCCTAGAATGTAAATGGTGTTGGACAACACATCCCAATGCAGGACCCTGCTGGAAAAAAGTCTTCAGACTCAAGTGTGGCTTCCCTTGGTATATAAGCCATATGGTCCAGGATTACATGCCTAGTCCCACGTCGATCTGTATAGTCTGGTATTCGCGCGTTTTGAAAATAATAATTAGTCTGGAAGACGCTGCCATGGTGTGATGGTTAGCACACTGGACATGCACCCCATAGGTCGTCACTGCTATTTAAATCTCCCGGTCTGGCAGAAACAATTGTCACGGCCGCTTGTGGTGGGGTAAAGTGCGGGTACTTTGATCTCTTCTAAGACGTCTGCCAAGCCTAGAAAGAGTAGGCCAAGATTCCCTGGAGAGGGGATTTCTAGACATCCCTCTGGGGGCAGGGGTCAGCAACCAAAATAACAAGATAATTCTTTTTCGAATTCGGTAAAAAGAAACCTCAACAATTCAAGAGCCGCAATGCACTGTGTGGTGAATACGAGATGGTGGTCCTTAATAAAGAACGTCACGAAGCAGTCCGTCAAGAGCCACATGCGGCTCTGGAGCCGCGGGTTGCCGACCCCTGGTCGAGTGGAAGCCCTTCCGTCAGCGGTGGCGTGAGCGGGCGATTACAGGGCTGCGCCTTTACCGACTATCATGAGCCTCCACCTCGCTGGCGCAGCGCAGTACGTGCCGTACAATCCAACCATTGGTTACATTGCAGGAGCTCACTCACGGGCAGCAGATGGGTTGTTACTTTTCACGCGCGCACCAGCGACGTTTTCTGGAATTCAAGCCGGCAGCTTGCTCATCAGGCGCACCGACGTGCTTGGAATTCAGTCCACAACATTTGCGCAGCTGTTCATGTCGGCCTAACTTCATCCATGGCGTGCAGCAACGTGTATCAGCGTGGGATCCGCTGTTAGGATACGAGAGCTGCACCACCACGAGGCAGAACTTGCACGAGATGTTAACTCCCTCGCCTGGTATTCAGGAGGTTGTGGGTACGATCCCGACCCTGACGCCTGCTGCTGTATATTTGGAGTTTTTCACGATCTCCCCGTGATCGTGTGGATGTGTCTCCGGGCCCTCTGGTTTTTCCTCCTTTCACATTGAGAAACAACGCGCATCTTCTTGGTTCTTTCGGTAAAGTCACACTTTCGGTAAAGTCACACTTTACCGAAAGATCCAAGAAGATGAATCCCTGCAGTCATAAAAGCTTTAAATCGAAAAACAACGTGCATTTAGAGCATTGTATATTACGGCTAGTTTACATGTTATATTGTACACTTATTCACAATTTTACATACTTTAGCCCCTTAGTATTAGTTAGACTTTGTAATTTTAGTATAGTTAGACTGTATACCACTTATTTAAGTTTTAAGATTCCTACATGTTGAATGTATGCACCTTCCGGCCATAGTAAATTCCTTGTCTGTGCAAACTTTCATGGCGAATAAAACCCTTTCTGATTCTGATTTATAATTCTGATTTGGCTGCTATACATTTCCATGTGTTCGCCGAGCTATAATTTGTGGCCTGTTCGCTTCTAGAAAAATAAAACATAGTTTAGTATAGTTTACGAGTGGCGTGAGATGGTCTAACAGCGGCGTGAGAATGGGATATTGGGTTAGGCTTGAGTGCGAGCAATTCTGCCAATGGATCGATGCAAATTTAATTTGACAAGCAGACTCTCCTTCCATATTTTCATCTGCGGTCATTGACTCTCCTGCAATGGCGCCACGCAGTGCTGGCCAGACCCAGTTGAGAGGAATTCTGCTCAAGGGCATCACAGCCCACCTGAGACAAGGCGTCGTGGAAGCGACGCCTGCGCTGCTATTATAACCAAGGGCCCTCCAACTCCCAGTGAATATGCCGCGGCATGCGACCACATTTTGCCTCAACAAATGCGAATCCTCGCATTAAGTTGAATATAAAATAAGTCCATTAACTAGGTGAAAGCTCGTGATTGTTTCTCAAAGTGGACTTGGGTGCCTTCGTTATGTATGGAGCGTTATTACGTTATTGAATATTGACTTTAATTTTCTTCTCGGGAGGCTAGGGCACTTTTAAAAATTCAAAATTTTTCGAAACATTTCAACCGTGTCCCGTGTGTACATTCACTACACAAGTATATACGCGATGCAATTTGAATGCCAACCAAAGTATAATCTCGAAATAGTGCCGTGCGCAGATTCAGCTTGGTAAATATTTATTAACATATTTGTTTAACTTCAACTTCATGCAGTCTTTCTACTGCCTGGATGTTTGCGGTTGTGCGGTACAGCTCTCCGGTACGTTTTTGGGCCGTACCACGTGTTATTTGACACGACGTCCGACGTTTCGCTCAACATTCTGGTACCTTCCCAACGAAATAAATGGGTTTCCAGCGTATGGCACGCAACGTCTTTTGATTGTTACAATCCTGAAGAAGCTCCCAGGATGTGGAGCGAAACGACGGACATCGTGCTGTGTAACAGCGCACTTGGGAGAGTTGAGGCCAGCTTGTTAACTTGTGTAGAGTCTGTCCTCCTGTAACGCGGTTGTTGCGTTCCTGAAGAACACCGCATTATGGGAAAATTGCGTTAAAATAAATAACATATAATATACGGTAAAGCACAGTCCGCGATAACGCGTGAGATGCGTACGCAGGCTGAGCAAAGACTGAGGCGCGTGGGTAGCAGCTAGAAGTATCCAGCAGCATCCCAACGCCTTGCGTGATGACGCTACGCCGAGGCAGCTGGACAAACTGCTTACTCCTACTCGTGCGGAGTAGGTGTGGTCACTCAATCGCGCTAAATCCAATTCGCATCCGCGTTATAAAACTGTGTTCCCTGATACATTCATCGCGTTATATCAAATTGGCGTTATGAGAACACGCAGCGTTATCGGAAAACAGACTGTATAAGTTGTCCTCCGCTCGGTTACGTGATCATCCAGACCTCCTAGAGCCAATTGCACTATAGCCTGATCATTGAGGTGGGTGTGTGTGTGTGTGTCAAATATGACCGCAACCAAAACAAACACTTTAAATATGCTCTTTGGTTCTTTCGGTAAAGTCACGTAGAAATAAATTAATTTAAATAATAATAGAATACGATGTTTCGATTGCAACACAAGCAACCATCATCAGGTACAAATGAATGAGAGAACAAACATAGTAAACTTGGAAATATAATGCAATACAACACAGAGAGTCGGCCAACAAAATAGTCAACACCCCACCTGGCTTATTACGTTCTTCCAAAGATTGCTAAATTTGAGAGCGAGACAAAACATAGACACGGAGACACACAGACAGACACACAAGCAGAGAGAGAGACACACACAAAGGCACAAAGACTTTACCGAAAGAACCAAAGAGTAATTCCTGCAGTCAGGAAAGCTTCGAATCTAGTTTAGATATGCCATGTTAAAATTACGTGGAGTAAACTAACGATGGCTATTTTCGAAAGCCCAATGTGGATTCGTTTGCCCTGTGCAATATGGTAATTTTCAGTAAATAAACTTCAATTGGCGTAATATAATATGTGCAGAAAGAAACCTATTACAAAGCGCAAAATCAAAATAAGTCACTTGAAACAGAGAAGCACTAAAGTTTGTGCTTGACGTATGCAGCATGCCCATAAATTACACACACACATTAAATGAAACAATGTGCACCGTTATTTGCAAACGTTTGTAAACAAAGCTGTTCTTAAATAATTATCACGTAGATAAGCAATTGGGATTTTGCGTCTGCCTGTTATTCATTCGCTCATCTTATCAAGTAACACTCAGGATAAACTCAAAATGAAACCAACAGCTCCTGTGTTTTGAATCAGAGGGCGAAATCATGTTCAGAAGTGCACTTTGCTCATCGCTCCAGAGGTTTGACAGATGTGTCATGATTCAGTTTTGAGACTTTTAAGACACCAGGGCCTCGACTTTCAAGCAATGCCAACTACGTCATTTGTGGAACTACACGGGAGCCCAGCGAGAAGCTACACCGTTGTCTTCTTATATATTCAAGACAAGCTCGTGACAGTCATTGACTGTTATTAATTTTACGTTTGCAAACGAGTTTTTACCTTCGACTAGTTTGGGTGGTTCACCCGCGGCATCCTGTTGCCGAGCCGCCGTGCACGATTGTGATTCGTTTCCATTTCCCTTCTTCGTTATGTATTTTTATTTATTTTTATTGCGACCTGTAATGTTTGCCAGGGAACCGATGCTTTTTGTTGACGAATCCCGATTCAAGAGCGTCTTTGCTCACAGGGTACTTCAAAATAAACTTAAAACAGAAATGTTGATTATTTGACGGGGGCATTTAAGGTCACCGTGCGGAACACCACACAACGTGGCAATCCTCCGTTATTGTTGTTATTGTTGTTGCCGGGCAGCTGCACGAATCAATAACTGGCAACTCTTTGTGGATGGGCGCATTCGTGAGACACATGGGACATAGGTTCGATTAGTACCCGCACCTCCGATGGGCACGGTTGGCTACGTACGGCGCGAAAGAAGTTCAACACACGTACGCGGATAGTCCATAAACGTGGCCTAAATGCAATAGTCGTGCCCTAGCCACTCCGCTGAATGGACAGCTTTGTCGCCAGTCTCAATACTCCCGGCGTAGTCGCTGTTGCGACTCGCATTGTCGTATGTGGTGTGCCTCTTTAACTGGGGAGATGAGCAATTTCGGTACAGCGTTAATTTGCAACAGAGGACATGTACATTATTAATTCTCAGGTCTTGATGTACTTAAGTGTTTTGTCTACACATTAAATAACAATATCAACATTCACATTTTCTTGAAACAGATACATCGATTTTTTTTACATAACACATTGTTGCATTACTTTGAATGCAATTAAAAAACAAAAATAACAAAAGCGTGTTCAGTTGTATTTTGGCAATGCATTTTTGTGTTGTAACACTTCTCCAACACACGAGCATATCTGAGAAGTTAAGTTGTGAGAGTTGAAGGGGAATTGCTTCAATGTTGCAGCGATTTCAAGAGGAAAGTTTCAAAATTCATACGCTCAGTTTGTGCCATTCCTGGCAACGGAATGGAATGGTCAGATAAGTAATGAAGAGAAGTGTTCACGACAACAAAGACTGTGGACGCCAAATCCGTTTGCTCTTGCGCTGAACAGAGTGGCTCGCGTCTTTAAGCGATGGGACACAGGGCCGCCGTGCTCTCTCAGGCCCAGCAATGATTCGTCATCGAGCGATCCGCCTGCTCCCACATTTTAAGCAGGAGCCACATCACTCCAACAGAGCAAACACAACGTATCCTCAAAACAAATTACAGTCATAACACATTTTTTATTTTAAAGGTTTCTGGATTGTTTTGGATGAGTTTTTTTGGTTCATGATGTACTCTAATTGACTACAAAGCGGAGGACTGCGATGACTTTAGATTTGCAACGACAACCAATGAAGCCACACGTGGTCCAGCAGAGTCATATCCACCCAATCTGTCGTAGGCCACTGGATGGGTTGTTGTTGTTGTCAACCACAATGTTTATTGTGGGGGGGGGGGTATTCCACGCTGACCCATTGGAGGTGATATTGCACAAGCGGTGGGGGGAAGGTGTCACGCGGTGCCTGGTCCCTGGGCCACATCGGGTGGTGGGGGGCAATGCTCCACGCAGTTACCTTGAATGCGTGACGCGCCATTGGCGCGGCGAAGCCAACGCTGGGATGTGAAGCTTTCCACGCACCACACATTTCTTCGCCGCAGATCGGCCAACAGAGCTTTGTGGCAAGCATTCAGATTGTCCAAATTTTCACGACAAGGCCAGCAAACGACGTGCTACGCTTGCCAACAAAGGCACAGCATCGGTAACGTCTGCGCACATGTTTGCCGTGAGTTGCTTTTAAAGGTTCCCTTAGGAAATGTGTCTACGGTTGAGGATAATTGAATTTAAAAGCAGCGGCGAACAAACTAAACTTACGAGCAGGTATCGCTAGCGAGGCCTCTAAACAGCCAGGCTCCAAAAAATGTCCGCCATTTCCTCTGAGCAGACAATTGCCATCAAAAATACACGTGTTCAAATAAGGCAACACTCCAGAAGACTGCAGTGAATAAAATGGTGTTTTAACTGTGCTCATTCGGATGCAAAATGTACGACTTCAAAGGGTGTGGACAGGTCACGCAGCCGGAAACAAAATCCCATGGTGTTGGTAAAACTGTTGCCCGTCTCTATGTGTGTGCGGTTGTGGTGAAGTTTTACTCGTCGAGAATGGGTATTCAATAACCAGAATAGGCACTTTGTACTTACGAGTTGCTCTGCGTCAGCCTCAGGTGCAGCTCTGACCTTATCAATTCCCCGCTGCGCTATTGCTTCAAAGTTATGCACGTCGAGACTCGTCAGCTGGCATAAAGCCAGCAGGAATCAGCTGGGTTAGTGCCAATTCCATCTCCAGAATTAGTGTCAGTCCAATCCTAAGAGCTGTCTTCCCATGATTGACAACCACAAAACAGTTCAATGCCAAAATATCTGCCAGTTATGAAACAGAGAGGATGAACGCTTCCAAGATTTCCCGCGATCTCTCCTAAGGCCATCGCTGCCGCCCAGCGCACGTGCAGAGAAGGGTCTTTGCACGTGGCACCTGGGACCCACCGGGAACACAAGATGTCGCATGGACGGGGATAAAACGACAAATGCATCGCGCTATACCTTTGGTCCGCTATTGCTATGGACGCGCGGGTCGCTAGGTTCCTACTACTGACCGAGCATTGCCTCCTTTTGCGACGCGAAACGGCGAGCGCCAGGGCGCCGAATGACTCCGCCAGACAGAGCCGAGTGCGACTCTGAATGTGGTTCCGTGACATCGATTCCCGGAATTGGCTCCTTGCGCACGCCGCACACCCAACTCCGGGGGGGGGGGGGGGGGTCGCGAACAAAAAACGCCCAAAGTAGGAGGAGGGTCCTAGCCAGACACCACGAGTGAACACAGGACACGTACACGGCGCGTGATCGTCGCGCAACGGCCGAGACGGATGCCCGCCGCCCGCGTCACCGCAGGGGGCGGGGGGGGGGTGTCCATAAACGACATCGCTACCCACGGACCCGACCATATGCCCCCCCCCTCCACCCCCCCCCACAATGCGGTCCCCCGCCGCCGTTGCCACGATCGACCGCGGTAGCAAAGCGACGGCCTAAAACAGCAAAGCGACGCCGAAAGCGGCTACGGCCACGCCGCGGTTTGGCCGCGGTGGCGCCCGCCGGCCCGCCGGCTCGCCTGCCCGCGCCCGCCCACGTCTCACGCCGACCGGTTGTTGCCGTGGTGCAGCGGGATGATGAACACGGTGATGTCGTCGCCGGAGCCCAGCTTCTCGTTGGTGATGCGCCAGCCCTTTTCGCGCAGCACGCCGCGCGCCTTCATCACCAGCTCCTGCGATGCCAGCGTGTACCTGCCGGGCACAAAGACATCTTCACGGCGGCGCCTTCTGGCTGGCCATCGGACAAGGACGGTCACAGCATCGCGCGTTTTCAGATGCGCTTCTGCTGCCGTCTGGAATGCTCTTCCCTCCATTATTAGGAAGCCCCTGGAGCTATCGGCTTTCAAATCTAGATTGCAAATTTATTTATTTACAACCGATTGTGTCAAGTTTGTTGTCCTTCCCCTGCACCTCCGATTAGCATTGGCTACGTACGGTGCAAAAGAAGTTAAATATCTATACATAGCGTTTAACAGACTGTTGGGGTAAGTGCTGTCAAGCGAGCACATGTGAAGGCCGGCACAGCACGCCTGTCCGCCCATTTGTCACCCCAGTGCTGAAGTTGACACACTCTGCTGCTGCTGCTCATGGTTAATGGGACTGCATTAACCCTCACCGGGATTTGAACCTCCCAGTCTCAAGTCTACAGTGCTCGCCTGCCAGTCTCTCAGCCTGTTGGTCCGTTCTTTTTGTCCATCTGCCTGTGTGCCGAGGTCACTAGTTCGAAGCGAGGTAATAATCGGACAACTCCATGCTTCAATAAATAAAATGTCTAATTATTTTCCAGAACGGGCAGTTCAGCAGCAATGTCTCATCACGATTCCCTCACGGTGATGATCACGGGGGTCACCTCATTACCAACGAGACGCAGCGCACCTTGGAGACGCATTGGCCAAGGCTAACCTACGGCGACCCAGCGTAGAAAATACCATCCGAGACAAATTAGTTATTACACGTACAGATAATTGTAGGTCACGAGGCTATCACCGTTTTGTATATATAAAGAGATAGACATGCTTTCTTAATAGGATACAGCAAACCCTCTCTATCCACAAGGGTTACATTCTTGAAAACGCAGGAACCTTGTTCCGCAGGGAAAATTGGGGCGACGTTCCTGGTGCAAGGGAACGTTTAATAGCAATGACTATCATAAAAAAAATAACACTCTAACAAATGTATCTTTGAGGATGATGCCGATTTGACGACGATGGAGGTGGTGGTTGTGGTGGTGAGGAATTCAGGAGGATGACGCCTCAGGAGATGCAGGGTGTTTGATGATTACAACGCCGCACAGTCGTTATCATTCTAACACTCTGGGGGAGCGCTGGCCGCAATCACTTTGCCCGATTGCATTCGCGTCAGTCGACTCGTTTATACCGAAACGTATAAACGAGTCGGCTGTAAGTAGTACGCATGAAGCGAAAATGCACAATAGCGAGTTTGGAGCGGGATTACTGCGAGACTTGAGGACTAAGCGGGCAGCTGAGGCGACGTCCCTAATCTTCGCAGACAGCTTCAAGTGTAGTAACATTCTGCGTGCATCTCCCCAGTGTGGGTGGCCTGGCACTACGCACGCTCGCGAATACCGGAGTGTCGCGAATAGGGAATGAACACGCATTCAGTAACTCACGAATATGTGAAACTCGCGAATCCAAAACTCCACGCACAGCGCGGGTTTGACTGTATTTTTAATGTACAACATTTATATTTTATTGTTATGGGACTCAACAAAACCTGTGATATTAACCTCACTAAGAGATAGAAAAAATCACCTGAGTAAGTAACCAGGCTTGGCTTGGTTGGTGCCAAACACATTTCTGGGCTGCCCAGTGTGGATCGAACGATGAGGCACACACTGCTGGTCTATGGCCGGGTACGTGTTTAAGTGTTTACATATTGGTAGTTAGAAAGGAATCCTTGTTCAAGTTAAACAAGCCAAACCCTCTCAAGGTCTCATCAGAAGCAAGTGGCCATTTGATGACGAGAGGGAAATTTCCATATTTATGGATTTATTTATACAACACCCAAAATCTGCTGAAAAAAATGCGCACCATTATTATTTGTTTCCACGGCACAGCCAAGTTACGAAGGACATTTCCATTTCCGCACAACTTATTTCCAACTGGGATAAGTGATTGCCATTTTACGACTTAAAAGGCGCGTATACAAATCCGTCAACAGTGTAGGGGGGGGCCTGCAAGACGGCCTGCGAATGTGAAATCGCTAAAAACTCGTCCCGACAGAAATTTACCCAAACAGCTCGTGTAACCGGCTCACCCTATCCCTCTCCTCCCGTAATCGTAACGAGGGGACAGGCCGGCTAATAAAGACAACAACAATAGACGATCTTCTTGGTTCTTTCGGTAAAGTCACGTAGAGTGGCCGAAACGTCGTGAGAATTATTTTATTATGTTTTATTTTTATTATTTTATTATTTCCATTCTACGTGACTTTACTGAAAGAACCAAGAAGATGAATCCCTGCAGTCACGAAAGCTTTAAATTGGAACAATAGACGAGTTCGAAGGCAACGAGTGGATACAATCCACGGTCATCATTATCTCCATTCACAATTACACGTGTGATTTATTACAATAAGTCCATAGCGGCTACACAAACAGCTCCCGAGGCAAGGGACGGCACACAATCTGGCATTCTGTGTGAATATCAATACGATGGACTTATACATCACCAAACCGGGCGCTGCTTGGCGAGGGTTCGTGATTAAAACGAGAAGGTTGCTTCATCAAGTGGTCACGTGCTTCTGATGAGACCTCCAGAAGGTTTGGCTTCTTTAACTTAAAGCCTTGCAGGCTTCGGTTCTCAATACCAATTGGTAAAGACTTCAACACATACCCGATGACGCGCCCGGCAGGGATCAACCTCCCGCCAGGGATCAACTCAGCCCACCCATCACTTCAGCAGCGGTATGATGCACAGCCGTAATAACGAATAACGCATAGCCATTTGTCAATCCACGACTGGACAAACGGCTCTTCGGAGTTGTGAGGCTGGTTGACCAGACTTCGTCAAGATGCTCATCAACGCGAGGTAAAATAGATCACTCGGCACCGCTAAAAAAGTATATCATCCACTAAGCTATTAAGAACAATGTCATCATATCACTTTCCCATGATATTTGCCATGGCTGAGAATCGGCCTCATGCCATGGCTTATCCAGGGTCTTTCATTTTCAGTACCTCGTATTTTTTCCGACAGAAGGTACTTATATAGTTAGTTGAGCACGCTATATATGGGATGCTGCTGTGTGTGGATTGGTTAGTGCACTGGTTTTGGAATGCCTTTGTGGCTGGTTTGATCTCCTCTCTGTTAGCAGTGGCATGTGCAAGCAATTGCAGGGCTGCACCTTGACTTTTTGTGGTTGTGTCACATAGTCACTTTAAGATGTTTTCTTGTTCATGTTTTTGTCTTTTGTTTGTTGCGGTTGCACCCGATTCATGAGCCGAATGGCTCACAGGGCTCTACCAAATAAATGAAACTGAAAATAAAACTTAAAACTGAAATATCAAATTCTGTAAATACAACAATGCATCCGATGCCCGATCACCAATAGCGATTGCACAAATTATAAGGTTTGGTTTTTGTCTGCTTAATTTCCCTGTACCTCTGGATGACAAAGCTTGGCAGTCAAATGCAAAAGCCTTTTGTTGAAAACAGCATGGAGGCAACGTAACCACAGCATTGTCTCGTCGCGTGGTGAGAGAGATCAAAATGGGGAGGCATCAACAGTGGTATGTCATCATCGTCATCATCATCCTCCTCCTCTGGAATCGTTCCTCAGCAAAGCGGTTATCTCCAATACCAGTAGTAGAGGCTTCCAGAAGAAGTAAAATAACGCCTCCAACGAAAAAAAGTCGACGGTGTCAGCCCAGGTATTTAAAAAAATAAAGTTTAGTACCTGTAATGATTGGCCATTGTGGATGGGGAGAGGGGCCCTTTGACCATATGTCGCCGTTTGACCATACGTCACAGGCTCCTGTCAGTGGCGGCTTGGTGAACAAAGCAAATGTAGTCTCCCCTGTTGCATACTCAAACTAAACAATTTTTTATATGTTAGCAGGTAAGGCCCACTGAGCTACGTAGTTCTTTTTCAGAAGCGACCTGGTCAAAAAATTATCGCTCAACTTCGTGGCTTATCGCGTGGACATTTATGATCGCGGCCAAATTACTCTAAACGCACGATGTTGATTCTAAGTGTGGAGGGAAACACCGGCGCACCCGGAGAAAAATCCACGCGATCACGCGGAGAGAGAAATACAAACTCCAAATATACAGCAGCAGGCGTCAAGGTCGGGATCGAACCCACTACCTCCTTCATACCAGGCGAGGTAGTGAACATCTCCTAGCGACCCCGGCTCAGTGCGTGGATGCTCGGGTACAGACCGCACCCCAGGGTTACCGGTTGGCGTCGGCGGGGTCGCAGTTTGCCAGGAAGCCCAGCACCACCTCGCTCACAGTCTCGTTGGACAGGACGTCCCAGAGGCCGTCGGTGGCCATGATCAGCACATCGTTGGGCGTGTGGCTGCGCTGAGACATCTCGTAAACGCAGACCTGGCGCGCACACGCACACACACGCACACACACATGCGCACACACGCGCACACACACACGCACACACATGCGCACACACGCGCACACACACACGCACACACACGCACACACACACGCGCACACACGCGCACACACACACGCACACACACGCGCGCACACACGCGCACACGCACACACGCACGCGCACACACGCGCACACACACGCGCACACACGCACACACACACGCGCACACACACGCGCACACACGCGCACACACACGCACACACACACGCGCACACACGCGCACACACACGCACACACACACACGCGCGCACACGCGCGCACACACGCGCACACACACGCACACACACACGCACACACACATACGCATTCCCCCGTGCAGCCTTAACAGACTGTTGAGGCAAGTGCTGTTAACAAGTAGCACCGATGAAGGACGACACGGCACACGAGGGGGTGGGTGGCCAACACCACGCCCGGCCGCCTTTGTCCCCCTAGTGGCGATGTTTAACACACCGCACCAGGTACTCATTTGAAGCTGAGTCGACCGAGCGGAGGCCCACGACCAGTTCAGATAATAGTCACCGGTGTTGGCCGTGAGCGGGAATCTAATTCGGGTCGCCGGGTTCGTAGCGCAGCGCACTAACTGCGACACTACCGCTCGTCAGACACACACGCGCACACAGGCATACCACGCACACACAGACACACACGCACACACACAGGCACACCATGCTTGCAGAGAATTACACAGCGGCAAGGGTAAGAATGCTGCTACCTTCACGGAGGTTTTCGCGGTTGTGCTGTTTGACTCTCTGATGTGTTTTCAACATACGAAAACAACCCACAGAAAGGCAGAGAGCGATAACCAGAGGAGTCTAGAAACGTTTTGCAGAGCGAGTGTTAATAAGGGGACAAATACAAACAAATTTCAAAAACTGAAGCTGAAAAGCTGTCCACTGACACCAATAACAATTGCGAGTCTCTCACTCGTAGCGGAAAGCGTGGGTTGCTGATGATGTGAAGTATCTGAGGTTCAGAACCTTAAACGTTATAAACTACAAGCTGTTGATCACCGTGGAAGTTATCTCAGCTGCGTGTGGTTTTGCCAGTCAGTCAGTCAGCGTAATGCTCGTTTGCACGTTTATTGATACGCATTCACATAAACGTTGTACGCATCTCATGGGCATTCCCAGGATTAATTAACGCACGAGGAAAATTGCGCAGCAGAACAAGAGGCCGGATAAGCTTTGCTATTATGCCTATTTTGTAAATATATGCAATAACTGAAGTCTGCTAAATGCCAAATATTGTGTTACGTAATCAACCCGACGTGAACTCCACACCCGCGTACGCTGTGCAGCGTGGTACAGCTTCCTATTCTCAACAGCAACCGCTGCTGTCACGTGCTGCTAAGTGTCGTGTCCGCGCGTGTGTGAAGTCTCCGTTGTGCCGCGGGAGTCACCGCACACTGTGAAGACGACATCCACCTGTGGCCTCGGCTACTGGTAGCACAGCAACCGCTTTGCAAAGGAACAATTTCAGAGGAAGATGATGATGATAATAACAGGCATCTCTCTCACCACGCCGCGAGACAACGCTGTCGTCACGTTGCTCTCATGCTGTCTTACAACAAAAGGCTTTGAAATCCCGAGGTACGGGAAATTAAATGGGGGAAGAAAAAAAACCTCATCATTTGTGCAGTCGTTATTGGTGATCGGGGTGAGGCTATTAACCCGTCTCTTCTTGAGCGGTTGATATTTCAGGTGACCTCTGGAGATGTTTTTAACCCCCAACTTCGACAGTTTTCAGCCACGTGCTCTGATAGGGGGCACCAGCTGCACGGAAGATCCTGTGAGCTCAGAGACGGTGGCGTACGTACTGGACGACACGAGGCTACGGATCATTAAGTAGGGAAGAAGTGATCCAACATGTGATGACTTGTAATGATTGAGAGCCAAGAATCGATTGACATACAATACATTGTGGTATCAATCAACATAATCTGCTGTATAGCGGCATTAACACACAGCATGTGATTCATAAACAATTATTGCACGCACACAAGATTCAATGCATATATTGTCAACCAAAGAAGTGGTTTTAATCAAGGAATTGTTTTTCCTTAACATTAAGCATATATATGTAAAATCGCGTTTGCTGAGCACAGGGCCAAAGGCCCAAAATGCCAAGTGCCCAGCAACAAACAGCACTTCTGAGTGTCTTATAAATATGAACACAAGGTGATACGCACTTGATAAACGAGCCGATGGAAGGGAATTACAAGACAAGCAGTGCGAGGGTAGAAGCAGAAAGCGACGTGCTGTGACCTGCAGTCCAGTGATCGAGTGAGTGGGGGAATGAGTTGGTGGGCGAGCGGATAGAGTTGGTGGGGCGCCACGGTGGCGAGATGTTAACTACCTCGCCTGGTATACAGAATGTCGTGGGTGGGTTCCATCCCGACCCAGACGTCTGTATATTTTAAGTTTGCATGTTCTCTCCGTGGTTGCGTGCATTTTTCTCTGGGTTCTCATGTTTTTCCTACCACATTTAGACTCAACATGCGTTTAAAGTATTTGGCTGCTTTAAATTTCCACTTGATATGTCACTTCGTTGAGCAATCATTTGTAGCTAAGTTGCTTTTGAAAAAGAGCTACATAGCTCAGTGGGCCTTAACTGGTAAAATAAATGTAGTTAAATAGTAGGTAAAATAGTAGAGTATGCTGTTGTGATCTGGGGTGTGGTGGTGGTTGTGGTTGAGCACAGTGTGGTTGGGACGAAACTGTCGGTGTGGAGGAAGCCACGATTGAAGTTTGCGGGAAAAGCAACCATGGCAGGAGCGATAGTCCAGCCGACTACTAGCGCACCGAGCCAACGAGTGAGCGGAGTGAATGGGGGCCGTTCTGGATCATCGTCAACCCGTGAAGGTTCACTGCGGAAGACGCGGCCCTCGGTGGGTGAGCACGGTGTGGGGCGAGGGCTGTGGGCGGTCACCGCGCAAACCTCTGGGCTGCAGGACAGGAAGGGCTTGATGTGCTGGTTGGAGTCGTACACTCGGAGGTCGTGGTCGCCCAGGCCCCGGGTGACGCCGATGGTGGCCAGCACGCGCGCCTGTGTGGGCAACACAACCGCTCAGGGGGGCCGTGCCCGTGTTCCTGCGCGCACACCCGGGCACCGCACGAAGGCCGGGCGGCTGAGATAGACGTTATCCCTGCCGCCGCACATCGACAAGCAGCCCAAGTGTCGGTAGGAGCACAATTCACGTCAATGACAACAGGAAAGATCTGCATTAAGTATACCACTAATGACACGTAGACACTTATACACTTATTGAATCAGTGGCACAAAAATGCATAACTATTAAACCATTTTTTTTTTACTATTTTTTATTTGACCAGGTAAGGTGCACTGAGATTTAGAGCTCTTTTTCAGAAGTGGCCTAGCAAAATATGACAGCTCAACGAAGTGGCTTATCACGTGGAAATGTATCGCAGCCAAATACTCTAAATGCACGTTCATCCGAAATTTAGAGGTATAACTGGAACACCCGGAGAAAATCCACATGACCACACAGAGAGGGAGATATGCAAACTCCAAAAATACAGGTGTCAGGGTCGGGATCATATCCAAGACCTCCTGTATACTTGGCGAGGTAGTTAACATCTCGGCACCGTGGCGCCATGTTCAATCAGCCATGTTCTATCCACTGCTGGATGAAGGCCTCCCCATGCCGCCACCATCTTCTGTAATCCCACCATGAAGCTATTCACCCAGCACCCGCACATGAGCCGATTTCATCGCTCCATCTCCGCGATGGACGTATCTTTCTCAGACGCGTTCCAGTCCTTGGCTGCCACTCCATCTCTATGCTGGATAATCGGTCCCTCGAGGGGAGGTCCTGCCCGAGCCACTCGCTTTTCCTAACAGTTTGAATTGTCTAATGCAGCGTGCGCTCTCTAATCCACGTGTCCTTCCCGCTCTGTATCTTCATGTACATTTCAAGCCCGCATCTCTCCTAGCTTCTTTGCGAAATTTTCAGCTTACATCCATTTACATTTAATTCCAGCATTCGTATCGTTTTACCTTCATGTTTTTTTTATACATCTGCACCACGCGTCACCTGCTGAGTAATAGTACGAACAAGCTGAGCATAATACACGCTTAATAAGCATCTTGTAAACACACTTTTTTTGTTAAGCCAATCGCTGACATTGCTCTCCCGAGATACAAATATTTCCTCCACCGTTCGGCCCCTGCATGACACGTGAAGTGGTAATTATTAGTAATTTGCCTGGCAGGGTAATGTCGGGGGCACTGTGACATGTGGTGAAATTACAGCCAGGAGATGCGAACCCCTTTTTTCCTGCGCGGTGCATTTAGCATTTCCAATTGTCGTCACCCTTGGGACCGCCAAAAAGGGGCCTGCGCTAGATGGAGCTCCAGAGAGCCACTCGATAGAGGACATTTCTGGGCTATTCTTCCATTTCTGGCCAGATGTCATGTAGCACAATTGGCCTCATAGCACTTATCCAAAGTATTGAGCCCAGGCACAAAAGACTAAAATGCTGACTCGTATGTATATAGAACTTCTTTTCCACCGTACGTAGCCAACCGTGCTAATTGGAGGTGCGGGCTCCTAATAAGCCCCACCACATTTTACAAACGCACGCACAGCTCACATTTTTCACCACTAAAGATGCCTCCACCTAAATAAATAGAGACGCAATTTCCTTCTCAAAACTCCACAACATCGGAGAAACACACCACATTTTGGAGGGACAAGGAAACATAATGGCAGGCTTTCATCTGAGCTCTTTCAAGGCTCTATCTTACCACCACTACCAGCAATCACTGTAGAGCTGACTAGGTGAGTAAGAGATACATTCTGTGTTTATCTGCAGAATAAGCTCCTCAAAGCTGTGAAACGCCAAATTATAAGCAAATACACAAAATAGTAAAAGTGCAATTTTCTCACAACTACCCCACAGTATTCCCTCGTTATTCACGAACTTGATATCCGCGAATTTGGCTATCCACGAATCGCATCTGGAACTCCACACGACTTCATCGAGAGAGAGAAACAATTTGATTCGAGAAACTGATGCAATAAAGCGATAAGTCCTAATTTAAGGTGAGTTAATTTAGAAACTGTGATTTTATAATAAAACAATTCTCACGACGTTTCGGCCACAACGCAAGCAGCCGTCCGAAACGTCGTGAGAATTGTTTTATTATGTTTTATTTTTATTATTTTATTACTTCCCTTCTACGTGACTTTACCGAAAGAACCAAGAAGATGAATTCCTGCAGTCACGAAAGCTTTAAATCGAAATGTGATTTTATACTTTAATATTTATTTCTATTTATTCTGTTGATTATAACAAGTGTTATGTTGTGTGCTGATAATGCCCATGTATTTAATATACTATTTATGTATTTATTTAGGGTAATTAATTAAAAAGGCCAACGCATCATTCTCCACAAAACTTGCAATTCACGAGCATCTCCGCAACGTATCCCTCGCAAATAACAGGGGAACACGGTGGTTACAACCGTGCCAGCAGTGTCAAGTCATCAGAAGAATATATATTCCCATCCAGGGCTCTCCCAGCGAGCTGCGCATCACCTTGTGTCACGAGAATGACCTCTCGGTAAAATGACATCACGGAAATGACTTCTGAAGTCACTTCAATCGGCTTCTCGTCCACAGGAGGTAGAACACATTTCCATATTTCCAGCAAACAGCATTCGTCGTATTCATAAGACGGGAATTAAACCGCAAACATGAATAATCTTTCAATTGTGGAATGTGTCAAATTAAGTGGGGAAAAAACCGAAATTGATATTATGGGTTTTTTCAACTATTAGCAACTAGGCTAAGGCCATCAAGTTAAATTCAAGCATATCATCTCAGTGGCGCCAAATCCGTGCCCTAGCACGAGCACGAGCGCACTCATCTACCTGGCCACATCTGCAGTTTGATTTATACTGTAAACACATTGTTATAACCTGGCTCTGTAGCACTGGAGCAGTGCCCCACTCAAACTTTGAAATGACGCAAATACCAACCAGGTATAGAATTAGTCCATTCTCCCTCCTAGGATGATAAAACGAGAACCACTCTGTGAGAAGTCAACAGCTAGTTGTCCTGTTGAGGACATACTGGCCCCTGTCATGGGAAGAGGGAGTTTATATTCTTAGGTTTTTTCGGTAAAGTCACGTAGGTAAAACATTAATGTTATTCTTTTATTTTACTTTTATTAATTTTAATGTTTTACTTATGTGACTTTACCGAAAAAACCTAAGAATATGAATCCTTGCAGTCACGAAATCTTCAAATCAGAGGGAGTTTCACCGCGGGGTCAATGGAGTTGAACGCTGTGTGACGTTAATCCGACTATGGTGGCACACCGAGTGTTAGCAAATAGCTTTTTGGAAATAGTAACTTTGGAGGGATTGACAAAGACAACGATTCCCCTGTATAGCCTTAACAGACTGTTGGGGCAAGTGCTGTTAGGGAGTTGCACCACAAGGGGATGGGTGGCCAGCATCACGCCCGGCCGTCTTTGTCTTCCCAGTGGCGATGTTCACACATCGTATCAGGTACTCATGAGGCTGAGTCGATCTAGGAGAGGCCCAGAACCAATTCAGATAATCGTCGCCGGGTTCGTAGCGCAGCGTGCTAACCGTTGCATGACTGCTCCCTACACACACACACGCTGGCAGCCCATGTGAATCCCAATAACGGTGTACAGCCTTGCAAGGAGCTGCTGCTTCGTTTAAATTAGGAAATGTTCCCTTGCCTGCAAAGCCGTTAACTGATGCTGCTCAACAAATTGCGGACAGCAGCAATGCAGCGAGGCCATTAGGCACACGAGGCATTGATGATGATGAGCGTGTTTGCATAAGGAACAGCGGTAGGTGGCGTTCACAGTGGTATGTGCATGCTGTGTGAGTCGGGGGGGGGGGGGGGTGAGTTATCGGGCCGTGTTTCTTTGCTGAAGGCCCTCTTTGTCTTTTCAACGCTGAAGGGTGACTGCACGGATACTCGATATCCTGCACCGTGCATGTGCAAACTGCTGAGTCGTGGGCAGAATTGGGTCAGGAGACAGGGCTTCAACTCACCCACTGAGTCGAGGAGACATTTTTGGAATAGTTTCAAACATTATACGGGCAACAAAAGTTCGATGAGAAAAAAATAAATCTCTTTAATCTTGCCAGGTTTGGGAAGTTTCAACAATACGCGTTTTCATCTTCCATTTTGTGAAAATTGTCAACAGTTATTTATAACAGTTTAACAATTAATGACTGCTTCTAACACATACTTCTGACGTTTTATAATGTGTAGAGCATTTTTGTCGCATATCTATCCAATCTAACATTCTGCCTTGGCATGGTCTCATCTCGGGCTGTCATTTCTTTCTCCAGGTAAACATTTACAATCCTCCACTAAGAAAACAAACCCTGCACCAATGTGACAATAATTAACGTATTTCCCTCCACATTTATAAACACCCGTGTCGAGTATTTGGCTCATGTAAATTTCCACGTGATAAGCCACTTCGTTGAGCTATCATTTGTGGCCAAGTCACTTCTGCAAAACAGCTGTATCGATCAGTGGGCCTTGCCTAGTTAAAACTAAAACATTGTTTGGTTTGAGTTTCTTCTACGATGTCTCAGCCAGCGTGGAAGAGCAGGCCAAACTTCTCCAGAGGCGCTCTCTTAGAGAACCCTCTCGGGGAGGGCCCTAGCGCGACATTGCAGGGCTGCGCCTTTACGTTAATACCCACCCCGCGCTGGTGCGGTGCCTGCCTACGTGTGTGCCACACCGTACAGGCGATTCTTTCCTAGGGCTGTCAGCTCCAACCCCCGAGGGTCCCCACCTTCAGCCAGGCCCCACGCCGGCTGCAAGCCTCAGAAGCGCGGCTGCTGCTGCTGCTACTGCTGCTGCTGTTACTGCTGCGTCACGGGGAACGTTGGGCCGCTACGTCCCACCCACTCGCTACGAACACTCTTCGCCGCGGCTGCCCTTTGTGCTGGCGCGTGAGAGTCAGGGCCAAATTAACCACCTGCAGTCGATGAGCAATGTTCCCGGGGAAACGCAGCGGAGG